AGCATCTGCAGCTGCAGGACTCTGGGTCCTGGTAGCTGTGGAGTGTTGCAGGGACCCAGGGTCAACAGTTGCTGGGTCTGAGAGTCTCCTCAGTTGTGGCATTCCCGGTCCTGGCCAGACCTAATGTACCCCTGGTGCTGGGAGCCCTCTCAGCTGATGGGATTCCTAGCCATAGAGGAGACCCTTCTGCATGTGCACATTAAAGCTGGAGAGCAACCAGCTATAAAAGTTAGTGAATATTTTTGAGGTCTAACTTTATAGCTGGTTGGAGCTTTTTTATGGCCATAGCTCCTTTGCATGCATGGCTGGTCTCAAGGTAGTTGTGCAATTAACCAGTTAATTGCATGCTACTTGTCATGTGTAGAGGGAGCCTTAATTTCTTACCCACAAAAAGCACTAGCCCTCTGCTGAGAAGTTCTAGTGCCCTTAACAAAAGAGCTGTTCTCAGGTTCCACTGAGGGAGGGATTTTACTAAGACTTTCATAAATGGATTCTATACAATTTTGGTTTTCTATTCGGTCAACTGGTATCTCTGGAGGAGCAAACATTAGATGGATCTTCTTGTCCTCTTTCCCCATGCCTGTCTTGTACTCTTCCTACCAGGGTAAGTTTCTTTTTTAATCAACTTGAAGGATGCCTAACTTGAATGTCCTAATTTCCCACTATCTTTGGTGGTTTCTGTGCCTCACCCCAAGGCATTTTCCCTTTCAGTCCCTTTTGCTTTCACACTCTTTCATGTCTCAGCAGACCTTCACAGTGGTATTGGAAGCCACCGTGTTATCTATCACAGGATAAATCTAGATACATTGAATAACATTATCATACAGGTTTCCTGACATAGCTGACATAGGTGATTACTTTTATCTGTCTTTCCACACTTTTCTGTAGAATTTCTCAGCCTGAAGAGTTACTATGTCCCCTGCTCATATGCATTTTACACAGCTCTTCATTTCACCAGGCATGTGAGACCCTCTCCCTTCCATGTACTTAGAAAGCTGTTTTCCTAAACCAAGTTTTTGTCTATGTTGATCTAGTACCTTGGGCCTTGTTTCTAGTGTTCCTTCAGATCTTTAAAGGAAAACTCAGATAGCCCTTAGTCCCTTCATCTTTCTTCTAAGTGTCCCAAGTCTCCCCAGACTTCAACAAGTCTCTCTTTCCAATTATCTGAGATTACTTTTCAGGGGGCTACTGGATTCCAGCTAACCTGAGTCTTAAAATCTAATTCATAGACTATTAACTCTTCTCTCTCAAATACTGTTGGTTCTTTACCATAGAGATATCCTAATTCAATCTTTCTGTCAACAGGAATAGATGCAGGAGAACAAAAGAAAAATACTCTTGGTAGAGTTATTTGGAGTAGCATCAACTTTTTCCCCTGGAAGACCACTTTCCAGGGAAAAGCATCAGATTCAGAATTCCTCATTAGATTGTCCCCCAAATTGGGCAGCATCATTCTCTTCATCCTCTCTTCTTCCAGTTGGCTGATCTCGTACGGCGAGCTTTAAACTAGCCTCACCGGGGGAGGGGGCCACAGGAAGATGAGGAGACGTCATCCGAGCAAGGCAGGTGACAAAGACAAGGAGTTCTAAGGTAAGAAACAGGGGTCTGGACAGTCTCCCTAAATGGGGAGTGGCGCACACAGTCTTGCAAGGCCTTAAATGCCTATATACCAATGCTCGCAGTATGGGGAATAAACAGGAGGAACTTGCCCTCAGAATAGCTAGTTCAAGCCCAGATGTCATAAGGCTAACAGAAACGTGGTGGGATTCGTCCCATGACTGGGCAGTTAGCGTTAGGGGCTATAGGCTTTACAGGCAGGATAGAGAAGGAAGGAAAGGTGGGGGTGTGGCACTCTATGTCAAGGAGCACTACACATCCTCTGCCAGCAGAATGGGGTCAGAGGAAGGGCAGGCTGAAGTGCTCTGGGTTAAGATTCAAGGGGACCGTGGGGAGAGTGACTTTATGGTGGGGGTCTACTACAGATCCCCCAACCAAGGGGAGGAGCTGGACCGGGAATTTTCGGGCCAGCTTGCAGAGGCACTTAAGGCAAGGGATGTAGTTGTCATGGGTGATTTTAATTACCCGGACATCTGCTGGGAGGAACAGTCAGCCAGGACAGACCATTCCAGGAGGTTCCTGGCTGAGATACAGGACCTCCACTTAATTC